TCCGCTGTGTAGGAAAGATAGAAAATATGGCAAAAGACCAGCTTGGCTTAACAAGGAGATCTTGCATGATCTCAAAATAAAAAAGGAGTCATATAAAAAATGGAAACTAGGACAACTAACAAAGGATGAATATAGGCAAGCAACACGGGAATGCAGGGGCAAGATTAGAAAGGCAAAGGCACAAAATGAGATCAAACTAGCTACAGGCATAAAGGGAAACAAGAAGACCTTTTATAAATACATTAAAAGCAAGAGGAAGACCAAGGACAGGGTAGGCCCACTGCTTAGTGAGGAGGGAGAAGCAGTAACAGGGAACTTGGAAATGGCGGAGATGCTCAATGACTTCTTTGTTTCGGTCTTCACCGAGAAGTCTGGAGGTGTGCCTAACGTAGTGAATACAAGCAGAGAGAGGGTAAGTTTAGAAGATAGGATACACAAAGAACAAGTTAAAAATCACTTAGGAAAGTTAGATGTCAGCAAGTCACCAGGTCCTGATGAAATGCATCCCAGGATACTCAAGGAGCTGATAGAGGAGGTATCTGAGCCTTTAGCTATGATCTTTGAAAAATCATGGCAGACAGGGGAGATTCCAGAAGACTGGAAAAGGGCAAATATTGTGCCCATCTATAAAAAGGGGAATAAGAACAACCCAGGAAATTATAGACCGGTCAGTTTAACGTCTGTCCCAGGGAAGATAATGGAGCAGGTAATTAAGGAAATCATATGCAAACACTTGGAAGGTAATAAAGTGATAGGGAATAGCCAGCATGGGTTTGTGAAGAACAAGTCATGCCAAACTAATCTGATAGCTTTCTTTGATAAGATAACGAGCCTTGTGGATAAGGGAGAAGCGGTGGATGTCATATACCTAGACTTTAGTAAGGCATTTGATACGGTCTCGCATGATATTCTTATTGATAAACTAGGCAAATATAACTTAGATAGGGCCACGATAAGGTGGGTGCATAATTGGCTGGATAACCGTAGTCAGAGAGTTGTTGTTAACGGTTCTAAATCCTGCTGGAAAGGGATAACAAGTGGAGTTCCTCAAGGGTCTGTTTTGGGACCCGTACTGTTCAATATCTTCATCAATGATGTAGATATTGGGATAGAGAGTACTCTTATTAAGTTTGCAGATGATACCAAACTGGGTGGGGTTGCAACTTCTTTGGAGGATAGGGACATAATTCAAAATGACCTTAGCAAGTTAGAGAAATGGTCGGAGGTAAACAGGATGAGGTTTAATAAGGAGAAATGCAGAGTGCTCCACTTAGGAAGGAACAATCAGTTCCATACATACAAGATGGGAAGCGACTGTCTAGGAAGGAGCATGGCGGAAAGGGATCTAGGGGTCATAGTGGACCACAAGTTGAATATGAGTCAACAGTGTGATGCTGTTGCAAAAAAAGCAAATATGATTTTAGGTTGTATCAACAGGTGTGTTGTAAGCAAAACTCGTGAAGTCATTCTGCCGCTCTACTCTGCACTAGTTAGGCCTCAGCTGGAGTACTGTGTCCAGTTCTGGGCGCCACATTTCAAGAAAGATGTGGAGAAATTGGAAAGGGTACAGAGAAGAGTGACAAGAATGATTAAAGGTCTAGAGAAGCCTATGAAGCCAGGCTTCATGAACTGGGCTTGTTTAGTTTGGAAAAAAGAAGATTAAGGGGGGACATGATAGTGGTTTTCAAATATCTAAAAGGGTGTCACAAGGAGGAAGGTGAAAATTTGTTCCTCTTGGTTTCTGAGGACAGGACATGGAGTAATGGGCTTAAAGTGCAGCAGGGGAGGTTTAGATTGGACATTAGGAAAAAATTCCTAACTGTCAGGGTGGTCAAATATTGGAATAAATTGCCAAGGGAGGTGGTGGAATCTCCCTCTCTGGAGATATTTAAGAACAGGTTAGATAGACATCTGTCAGGGATGGTGTAGACGGAGCTTGGTCCTGCCTTGAGGGCGGGGGGCTGGACTCGATGACCTCTCGAGGTCCCTTCCAGTCCTATTATTCTATGATTCTATGATTCTATGAGACTTTCATAGTGAGCTTGGATTTTCAAATCTCTGACACACTGAGTAAGGATTTCTACGGGGTCCCATTTCCAGAGGTGTCGTGTGCTTTAGGCCAGATCCTGCGAGAGGCTGAGTGAGAGGATACCCCATGGAATAGCAGTGACTGGGTTGCAAATTGCCTCAGGTTTATTTGCTCCTGGAAATATAATCAGCAAATGAATTTTCAAAGGTTTTATTCTCTGGCTCGATTGTGAAGGCAGGAATTCAGGGCTGAGTTGCTCTGTGGTCACAGGCCCAATAGGGCATATTTCAGTTCCCTGATAGTCTGAGAGCACCTGACTTTCTGCCTTGCAGATACTCCTCAGATTTACAGGGCTCTTGGTCCACAAATGTGTATCTTTTTCCAACTTAGTTTTGAAAGAGGCTTTTTTGAAATTTGGCATGTCTACATAGCACCAAATTTCAGAAAAAAAAGTGCTTTTTTGACCCATCCCTTATGCCTCATAGAACAAGGTATACAGGGATGGTGAAAGAGTGAGTCCATTCTTTCGAAAATGTCCAGTATCCCAAAAAAGCAATGCAATCTAGAAGTAGCCTTATTCTCTTATTCTTATTCAAAGCCTCTGTCGACAAAAACCTGTAGTCTAGATGTACCCCCAGAATTGAGAGATCCCTTCATAACTCTTTGCAGTCAGTTTTGGGCGTAACTATTTTGAGTCATTTTGTGTCATCTGCAAATTTTGCCACCTCACTGATGATCCCTTTTCCAAGACCATTTTTGATGAAATTGAACCTCAGTAGTCCAAATGCAGACCCCTTGAGAACACCACTATTTATTCCTACTCTCTCTTTTTCCTGAATACCTGCCAATGTTTTCATGATCATCTAGGGTTCCTCCAGACACTTAAATGGCCAACCTCTTGTTATCTTCATCGCAGAGCTAGGGCATGTGGTTCAAATAGACCTCAAGTATGAAATCCAGAGGGGTTCAAAATTTAGAGAGAAGGCTACAGATCCCTTTAGTTCCCCTAAATGGGGCCCTCACCAAGTGGGTTTGGCACCTGTCGTTCTTCCCTTTGGGAGTCTGTGAGTAGTGATGAGACGAGCGATCAGGCAACCTTCTAGAACCAAAATGCTGATTATTCTGAATAGCAGGAAGAAAGTGTAAAATGAGCAAATAGAAGGGTTTTCAAACAGTCTGTAGATTTAGTCAGTTTCTAATCCCAATCTGTCCCGCTCTGATGGGGACACAGGTAGGACGAAGGCCTTCAGACTTCCCAACAGCTGCGCCACCTCTGGACAGATTCCCAGTGTAGGTAGAACAAGCTGTCTAAGGTGGCTCTTTCCAGCTCGTAGCTTGGGTATAGTCTCTTACCCACCCTAAAGTGTTCACTCAGAGCTGGCCTTTTTTTTCTCCTGTGACTTCCCTTTGTGCTGTTTTCTAGAAGGCTGCGATTAAACTAACAAGAGCCAGGCTGGTTTAACCCACTGCAGCCATAACATCAGCATCCCAATAGTTAACACAGCATAGCTCTACAGCAAACATCCCAAAGACTGGACTTAGTTGACACATTGATTCTTGTACCTCAGCTCCATGTTTCTGTTCCCTGAACACAGGACATAAACAGTCATAGAATCATAGAGCTGGAAGAAACCTCAGGAGGTCAAGTCGTCCAGCCCCCTGCCCAAGGCAGGACCGATCCCAACTAAATCAACCCAGCCAGGGCTTTGTCAAACCGAGACTTAAAAACCTCCAGGGATGGAGATTCTGCCACCTCCCTAGGTAACCCATCCCAGTGCTTCACCACCCTCCTAGTGAAATAGTTTTTCCTAATATTCAACCTTGACCTCCCCCACTGTAACTTGAGACCATTGCTCCTTCTTCTGTCATTTGTCACTACTGTGAACAGCCTTTCTTCATTCTCTTTGGAACTTCCCTTCAAGAAGTTGAAGGCTGCTATCAAATCCCCCCTCACTCTTCTCTTCTGCAGACTAAACAAACCTGAAACCCTCAGTCTCTCCTCAGAGATCATGTACTCCAGCCCCCTAATAATTTAGGGTATTTCTACACTACAAAGTTTTTTGGAAAAACACGTTTTTTTCTAACAAAACCTGAGTTACGTCCACACTGCAATTGTGTTCTTCTGAAAGCACATCAAAAGAACAGAGAGGTTTTTCCAGCATTGATAATCCTCTTTCTACGAGGAGAAGCCTTTTTCTGAAAGAGCTTTTTCAGAAAAAGGTGTGTGTGGATGAAGAAGAGGAAGTTCTTTCGAAAGAAGAGGAAAGAGGGAAAAGCACAGGTGCCTTGGTGGCCACTCTGCCCATAATAATCACAGCTTAAATGTGAGATAGCATCCATTCAATGTGGGCGCTATCTTTTGAAAAAGCAGATTGCTTTTTTGATGCGTTTTTGTGTGTGGACGCTCACTTTCGGAAGGTCTCTTCTAAAAAATGGTTCTGAAAGAAGCCTGCAATCTAGACATAGCCTTAGAGAGAGAACAACAGACCCCTACTCTCAGGTGTGAAATGAAGTTCCATTTCCATGAATATCCATTGCTTTGACGTTAAAATCAACTTCCTGAACATCCTCATGACCGAATAACAGATGCTGGGGTTGCTATGTACCAGAAAAAGAGAGCTCAGGCAATGAATATTTTCTCTCAACCCACGAGGCATAACGAGGCGGTCGACAAATGCCTTTGATGTTGACCACGGAGCGTCCAGACTAGCGCGCTGAGCCGACAAACAGCTGATCAGCTCAGCGCAGCAGCCATTTTAATTTAAATGAAGCGGCGATCATTTAAATCGCTGCTTCATTTGGGTATGTCATTTGGGTATGTCTAGTCGACAGAGCCATGTAGTCTAGACATACCCCTAGAGTCTCTAGACTTGCATTGAGAGCTGAAGAATTTATCACTAGTTCTCATCTAGTCACCTGTTCTTTTTCCTTTCAGATACGAAATTTCACAGCTCCTTGACCTGCCCACTGCATGATGTCAGCTGTCAATGACACCAAATTCAATTTTACCGTGTTCCTTCTCACGGGGATACCTGGCCAGGAGCATGTCCATTTCTGGATCGCTATCCCCTTCTGCTTAATGTACACTATTTCGATCGTAGGAAATTCATTCATCGTATTCATGGTAAAAACAGACCCAAGCCTCCATGAGCCCATGTACATTTTGCTTTCTGTATTGGTCATCACAGACCTTGGCTTGTCGCTAGCCACCATGCCGACGATACTGGGCATATTCTTGTTTAACTCCCGGGAGATCAGCCTCGATGCCTGTTTTGCCCAGCTGTTCTTCATCCACACATTTGCAAAAATTGAATCCTCAGTGCTCCTGTTGATGGCCTTTGACCGCTATGTTGCAATCTGTAACCCACTGAGATATACTTCCATCTTAACCCTGCCCAGGATAGCCAAGATGGGATTCGTTTTTTTGTTAAGAGGGGTAGCCATCATATTCCCTCTGCCCTTGCTCCTGAAACGGTTCCGATACTGTCGAACCAATGTCCTCTCCCATTCCTACTGCCTGCACCAGGAAGTCATGAAGTTGGCATGTTCAGATATTAGCGTCAATAGTGCCTACGGCTTGTTTATTACAGTCTCCACGGTGGGGTTGGACTCTCTGCTCATCCTCTTATCTTATGTGATGATCCTCAAAACAGTGCTAACGGTCACATCTCGCACAGAGAGCCTCCGGGCCCTGAACACCTGCGTCTCCCACATTTGTGCCGTCCTGCTCTTCTACATACCAGAGGTTGGCTTGCCTGTGGTTCACAGGTTTGGGAAGGGCTCTTCTCCTTTGCTTCAAATTGTCCTGGGTTATATCTACCTCCTGGTTCCACCTTTGTTTAATCCAATCGTGTACAGCATGAAAAGCAAACACCTTCGTGTGAGGATAAAGAGGGTGTTGTTCAAGTGAAGGGTCAATTCACCATGCAGCTCCTGTGCTGGTGACATGTGAGTTGTAAAACATGGGACATAGGCACCTATTGCATCCTGGACCCATTCCTCTGAGATAAGACCCGCTGCCCATCTCCCCTTCGCCAAGAGAGTCTGGGAGCGGGATCTAAGTACTGTGAAAATGGGAGAGGGGTTGTGCCCACCCTCCGGTGAGTGACAGAAGCACACTGGGGAAGGAGACCACAGCGAGTAGAAGCATACACAAAATGACTGTGTTCGTGGAAGGACAGGGGATGTTGGCCCATCAAGAGCCATGTCCGTGGTTGCTCCAACCTCAGAAATCCTGCCTAGACTGTCAATAAATAGAAGTGTCCATGATACCTGCTCTGTCCCTGTCACATCTCTGATTAAACATCCATCAACCAATGAAAAAAGCGGCAGGACTGTTCTGCAGTCACAGCCTTGGCCCTTCCTGAGCACTCTGGTTGCTGCGTGATCCATGGGGCTGCCCCAGTTGTGGCCAGGGGCTATTCCAGGGGCACAGACACCCACCCTTCCCCATGCCCTCAGCCCTGTTCTTGTGACTGGGTCGTGTGAGAGAAACGATGAGTGCCGGAGCTTCTGCCTGTCTCTGCACATCACATACCCACCGGGCCCACTCCCCACTGAGGCAGGGCACAGCTAGGTGTGTGAGGGAGGGTCTGACACACGGGAGTCCTGGCAAGAGACCCAAGCCCAGATTCCATCCCTGGCACATCTGTGCTGCCCCAGCTGCTTCCAAAGGGGGGTAGAAATGAGCCTCAGCCCCCTACAGAGGCATGGCCAGCTCCTGGGCCAGCCCAACCCACTCAATGCCAGATGACCCCCAGTTAAAAGGAAAAGTGGAACACATGCAAGATCCCTGTCCCCATATTCACTCTGCACCTGCTCCTCTTCCCTCCAAAGACCCAAGCCCCTACTCCTCCTCGTCCATGGAGGCCTCTCTCTCTGCCCTATCTCTTCTCTCAATTTCCACCCCCTGCTCCTCCTTTGTACCTGAAACTCCTCCTTGACGCCATAGCTGGGCTGGAGTAAGAGCTGCCCCGGAAGGCAGAGGCATGGTAAGGAGCCCTAGGAGGGGCAGGTGGCTGGGGAGCCCAAGAAAACCCCTCAGCTGCTGTCCAGGACACACATCCAGGGAACTGGCAGAGTCCGGGTCTCCCCTCAGCAGCCTGACTCCTGGATTGCACTCACCACAGCCCATCTCTGGCCTGGCAAGGGAATGGAGCCTCAGGGGAAGTGGAGGCACAGGGGGCAGGGTCTCTGAGGAAGAGATGAGGCCCACGGTGTGGCAGGCCTAAGCCACTGCTAACCTCAGCAAGCAGTGGGGTGGGGGCTCCTGAAGAAGCTTTGATGGGGCTGGAGGGTGGCACAGTCTGTGTTTGGAGAGGACTGAATTCATAGACCCCCACAAAGGGGTCTTGTTTTACGTATTCCAGGCTGAGAGTGAGTTATAGAAAGTTTCCTAGAGGGCAGGGCAGGACACCTGCAGGGCTACCTCGAGTTCTGAGGGGGCACCCTACTGCAGGGGCTTGGCCAGCGTGAGCTGTGCTCCTGGAAGCCGTTACCTCAGGGTGGAGGTCTGCCCACACCCCAGGCTGCTCTAAACTCAGCTGAGGCAAGGGAGACCTGGCCATCAAATGAAGCCTCCATGTCTGGCTCCTGGTCATCTTCACGCTCTGTGGTGCAGCAGAGAAGGCATCTGCATCTGTCAGCGCTCAGAGGGTTCAGGGCTGGTCCTGAGGTCTGGGCACGGCTCTGTGACTCAAAGCCTTGGGTTTCACTCCATCACTGTGTGTGACCATGGACAAACTACTGGCTGCCTCTGAGGACGGGCGGATAACAGCCCAGCCCCGCCTCATAGTGGTGGCAGGATGATAAACATCCATTCAAAGTGCTCGGCCGTTTTGAGACCCTAAAATCAGGCCTATGCCAGGTTCCACAGAGCAGCACTTCTGACACTTTGTCTAAAAAGATTTCTTCCACTCTACTGTGCACGGATTAGGCCTCAGTCCGAGTCTTGTGTCCAGTTCAAGAAAGATATGGAGAAATTGGAGCAGATCCAGAGAAGAGCAACATGAATGATTAAAGGTCTAAAGAACATGGGCTATGAAGCCAGGCTGAACAAACTGGGCTTGTTTGGTTTAGAAAAGAGAAGACTGAGAGGGGACATGATAGTGGTTTTCAAGTATCTAAAAGGGTGTCAGCGAAGGGGGGGGGGGATTTTTCTCCTTGGCCTCTGATGCTAGAACAAGAAGCAATGGGCTTAAACTGCAGCAAGGGAGATTTAGGTTGGACATTAGGAAAAAAATCTTAACTGCCAGGGTGGTTAAACACTGGAATAAATTGCCCAGGGAGGTTGTGGAATCTCCATCACTGGAGATATTTAAGAGCAGGTTAGATAGGCACCTATCAGGGATGATCTAGACAGTGCTTGGTCCTGCTAGGAGGCAGGGGACTGGACTCAATGACCTCTCGAGGTCCCTTCCATTTTTAGTGTTCTAGGATTCTATGATTCTTACCATAGACTCCCATGGCGGCTACCTTCTGGGGAGCCCCGTGTATCCAGCACCTTTGTGTCCATGGCAAATGTGGAAATGCTTGGGGCATAGGTGACTGGTGCCTGCACTGGTTGGGGGTGTAGGGAGTGCCACTCAGGAACAGAGAACTGGGAGGGAAACAAGGGCAATCCCCTTTAGCAATTAGACTCTTGGCAGGAGTACGGTGTGCAGGGGGCGTGCTACATTTCCCGAGTGCTACCATGGGTCACCGAGGCTTGGGGGTGACTGGGACAGGTCGTGGATTTCTGAGAAGAATGTTGGGGAGTCAGAAGGACACCAGGAATATCTGCTCAGTGACCGGACAGGCGTTGACAAGCCATTGAGTCTGAAAGGGTCTAACTGGCAAACACTGGCATAACAGATCCTTATCTTAGATGGTCCGGCCGGGAGAAAGCAGTCTGAGGGGAAAGGTAAGTTTTATATCTTGGCCCAGGAACACAGTCCTGGGTGGTTTGCACATTTCATTGTAAACAGGGACCACAATCGCTCTTTTGCTTTTGCTCTGATTCTAAGTGCTCATCGGTTCGTATCCAGTTACAGGAGGTGTACAAATATAAAATAGATATAAAAAACCCCAAGTACACGGGTAAGGTAAAAGCACAACTTCTCCACATGGCATTCAGGAGAAGCATGTCATCACAGAAAAAAAATTAATTGGCACTGAAGCAATATAGCAACTAAAAATATAATAATTCCCCCTATCTATGTATCAAACAAGCCATTACTGTACAGAGGAAAGATTATGTTAATCTAATCCCCACTGGGTTTGCTACTCAAACTGTAAAACCAACAAAAGCCACCTCCCATGCTGGAAGGCCAGAAAACCAGGTGGACTGGAAAACAGAATGTACAGGCGACAACACCGCTAAATACAGGAAAAGTACAGATTTTGGTTGTATTCGGAGACATGCCTCGATACGTTCAAAAATATCCAGTACATCTCAACACACACAAAAATCATTAAAACAAGTCAGACAAACCGTGCTGACAAGCCCAGATTCCATGAATAAAGCCTGCTGCAGGCCAGTTGTTTAACAACACCCCCAATCCGCTTATATTTGGCCTCCTGCTGTTTGCCATTGACTGTGATGAGGTTAAAGCTGGCGCACAGGAAGCCAAGCAGCTGAGGTTCCCTGATGGCCAAGTGGCCCCAAGGGAAGGTACAAACATGCTGCATAAAGGCAGTTGCCTCCCTGTCTGAACACTCACTGCCTGCTGCCCATGCAACCTCTCCGATGGCTCCTTGTGCTTCAGGGTGAAGACCTCTGGTGCCAGCGGCTCCCTTCTAGCAGGAACTGGGTACGTTGGCAGGGTTCACTGTCTATAACATGCCAAGTGCAGGGCGAAGGCTGCAGGCTGTTTGCATTGGCAGCTGTTCTGTGCAGCGGCAGAGGACTTAGCTGGGCGTGACTCAGTGTTGGGATGACTCAGTGATGGGGCTAGAGGGCAGGCAGCACTAGGTAGCTTTGGAACACCACCCCTACATCTGTCCATGCTCCTTGGGGAGCTGTTCGAGGTCTCTTGTGCCCTCCTTCCTCCAGCACAGCAGTCCACCATCTCTGTGCTTCTAGAGCAGAGAGAATACATATGCACCAGCAGTAGACACAATTTTCTACACACTGGGTCCTACTGGCGCCCCCTCATCCTCCACACACTGTCTGGCACCTGAGGTGGCTGCCTCAGTTCGCCTCATGGTAGGGCCGGCCCCACAGAAAGCCTTTGAATGAGGTCCCTCACCAAAGGCTCTTAAATAAAGGAAGCTGTCATGGGATGAAAGGGAAGTTCCTGTCATGGATTGATAGCTGGTTAAAAGACAGGAAACAAAGGGTAGGAATAAATGGTCAGCTTTCAGAAAGGAGAGAGGTAACTAGTGGTGTCCTCCAAGGGTCTGTACTGGGACCTATCCTATTCAACATATTTATAAATGGTCTGGAAAAAAGGATAAACTGTGAGGTGGAAAAATGTGCAGATGATACCAAACTGCTCAAGATAGCTAAGAAAAAAAGTGGACTGTGCTTTTCCAAAAACACAATGGAAAAATAATCCCAACTCTACATAAAAAATGATGGGGACTAATTCAGATATAATCACTCGAAAAAGAGAGAGATCTTGGCGTCATTGTGGATATTTCTCTGAGAACATCCACTCAGTGTGCAGCAATAGTCAAAAAATCAAAAAGAATATGAGGAATTATTTAAGAAAGGGATAGAGAATAAGACAGAGAATATCTTATTGCGTCTGTATAAATAAATGGTACTCCCATATCTTGAATACTATGTACGGATGTGGTTGCCTCATCTCAAAAAAGGCATTGGAAAAGCTTCAGAAAAAGGTAACAAAAATGATTAGAGGTTTGGAAGGGGTGCCATATGAAGAAAGATTAAAAAGACTGGGACTTTTCAGCTTAGAAAAGAGAAGACTAAAGGGGAATATGATAGAGGTTTATAAAATCATGATGGGTACATAAGAACATAAGAACGGCCGTACTGGGTCAGACCAAAGGTCCATCTAGCCCAGTATCCTGTCTGCCGACAGTGGCCAGCACCAGGTGCCCCAGAGAAGTGGACCGAAGACAATGATCAAGCGATTTGTCTCCTGCCATCCCTTTCCAGCCTCTGACAGATAGAAGCCAAGTACACCATTTTATCCCCTGGCTAATAGCCTTTTATGGACCTAACCTCCATGAAGTATTTACTTGTTCCCATAACATAAGAACTAGGGGTTACCAAATGAAATTAATGGGCAGATGGTTTAAAACAAACAAAGGGTTTTTTTTTCTTCATGAACCGCATGGTCAACCTGTGGAACTCCTTGCCAGAGGATGTTGTAAAGACCAGGTCTTTAACAGGGTTCAAAAAAGAACTCGATCAATTCATGGAGGTTAGGTCCATCAATACTTGTTAGCCAGGATGGGTAGGAATGGTATCCCTCGCCTCTGTCAGAAGCTGGAAATGGACAACAGGAGAAGGATCACTTGATCCCTTGTTCTGTTCACTCTCTCTAGGGTATCTGGCATTGGCCACTGTTGGAAGACAGAATAGTGGGGTAGATGGACCTTTGGTCTGACAGAGTATGTCCATTCTTTTGTTCTGATGTTCAGAGAATTCTGACATTCAAAGCAAGCTCGGAGTGCTAAAACCCCAATGCCCTGAATCAGGATTTCTCACCCAGTCCTATTTCTAGAGATGCCATGGGCTTCATCCTACCAGGGGCTGAGACCCCGCAAAATATGAGTAACTACTTCCCAATTCGCCTCAGATGTGTTTGCTCCTGGAAGTTTAATTACCCCATGCATTTTCAAAGGTTTTATTTTTTGGCGTGATTGTGAAGGCAGGAGGAACTCAGAGCTGCGTTGCTCTGTGGTAACAGTCTCCACAGGGCATATTTCTGTTTCCTGTCTTGCTGAGGGCCCCAGCTCTTCTGCCTCAGCTACCTTTCATTGTTGAAGGGTTACCAGTATCTCTGCCCCTCTCTACTCTTTGGCTGTCTCTAGACTGCATCCCCCTCCAAATATCAAAGGAAGGGGGGGTGAAAACCCCCCCCCCCCCTCTTCATTTGCATAAACATGGCTGCCGCTTTTTTCCGGCTCGGAGCTTTAAAATGAGGGATAAGGGATCTTTCGGAAAAGGCTTTATTTTCCGAAAGATCCCCGTCTAGACTGGCGCTTTTTTCCGGCAAAGCTCCGAGCCGGAAAAAAGAAGCAGCCATGTTTATGCAAATCCCCGCTTCATTTGCAATTGCGATGTGTCTAATTTGCATCCCTTTTACGGAAAAGGGATGCAGTCTAGACACAGCCTTTGAGTGCCAGATGTCAGGCCTCCTACTTTGACTTCTCATGGGCTAGATTCCCATAACATTCCCATCCTATGACTAGGCTCTGGGCACCGCACACTGGGGGTCAACTGTACCTGTCCAGCAAGGTTTGGGTGAATACAGCCCCTGTGGTTGTTCCCTTTGGGAGGCTGTCAGTATTGGTGAGACGAGTAACCAGCAGCCTTCTTCAGCCAAAACTCTGTTTAATCTGACCAGCAGGAAGAAAGTGTAACATGGGGGAATAAGAGGGTTTTCAAACTCCAGCCTGTCCATTTCCCTGAAAGTCCTCCCAGTCTGACAAGGGACTCAGGCAGCCCAAGGTGCTTCTGACTTCCCTAGCCGTGTCCGTGCCTGTCAGCATGTAGACTTTCTCATCTCTTCCCAGCTTGTAGCTATAATGTGGTCCCTCCGCTTCCCTGAGGTCCTGACTAAGCGGTGGCTTTCCTTGAGCTGCTGCTTCCCTTCCGGCTTGTTTTCCAGCAGCCCGCTATGAAACGAAGAAGAGCCAGACTGGTTTCACCCACTACAGCCATAACAGCAACATCCCAACAGTTAACACATCTCAGCTCTACGGCAAACATCCCACCAACTGGGTTCAACAGTCACGTTCATTAAGACACCCATGTCTGTCACAGTGCAGCTCCTAGGTGTTATGAACTTTATGTGTAAGAGGTGAGGGAGGGAGAGAGGGAGCAATAGGCTACTGTCAGGTGGGAAATGAGGTTCCAAACCTTCATCCTTCCTGTTTAACATGTGCTGGGGTTACACAAGAAGGGGGGAGGGGAGAGCGCAATAGACTACTTTTCTGTGGGAAATGAATTTCTATTTTTATGAATGCTCATTTATTTGACTTTGAAATTCACTTCCTGCAAAACCTCATCGTGCCTGAATAACCACTGCTGTTGTCATAGAATCATAGAACATGGAAGGGAACTCTAGAGGTCATCAAGTCCACTCCCCTACCCTCACCGCAGGACTAAGCACCATCTAGATCATCTCTGATAGATGTCTATCTACCCTGCTCTCAAATATCTCCAGTGATGGAGATTCCACAACCTCCCTAGGCAATTTATTCCAGTGTTTAAGAATCCTGACAGTTAGAAAGTTTTTGTAATGTCCAACTTCATTCTCCCTTGCTGCATTTTAAGCCCATTACTTCTTGTTTTATCATCAGAGACCAAGGAGAATAACTTTTTTTCCTTCCTCCTTATGACACCCTTTTAGATACTTGAAAACTGCTGTCATGTCCCCTCTCTATCTTCTCTTTTCTAAACTAAACCCAATTATTTCAGTCTTCCCTCCTAGCTCATGTTTTCTAATCATTTTTGTTGCTCTTCTGGGGACCTTCTCCAATTTCTCCACATCTTTCTTGAAATGTGGTGCCCAGAAATGGACACAATACTCCAACTGAGGCCTAATCAGTGCAAAGTAGGACAGGAGAATGACTTCTCATGTCTTGCTCAGAACTCTCCTGTTAATGCATCCCAGAATCATGTTTGCTTTTTTTGCTACAGTTTCACCCTGGTGACTCATATTTAGCTTGTGGTCCACTTTGAACCCTCAGTCCCTTTCAGCAGTACTCCTTTCTCGACAGTCACTTCCCACTCTGTACATGTAAAACTGATTGTTCCTTCCTAAGTGGAGTATTTTGCATTTGTCCTTATTAAACTTCATCCTGTTTACCTCAGACCATGTCTCCAATTTGTCCAGATCATTTTGAATTATGACCCTATTCTCCAAAGCACTTGCATCCCCTCCTAGCTTGGTATCATCTGCAAACTTAATAAGTGTACTCTCTATGCCAATATCTAAATTGTTGATGAAGATATTGAACAGAAACGGTCCCAAAACAGACCCCTGCGAAACCCCACTTGTTATGCCCTTCTAACATGACTTTGAAACATGAATAACTACTCTCTGAGGACAGTTACCTGGCCAGTTATGTACCCACCTTATTGTAGCCCCATCTAAGTTGTATTTCCCTGGTTTATTGATGGGAAGGTCATGAGAGACCACATGGAATCATTCAGAAGTGGAGGGCCAGAAAAGTTGTCTGAGAAAAGGTTACAATTGGAAAATCACATAGTGCTCATCTAGGCTATGGAACTCCAATCCACAAGATATCAATGGGGCATAGAGCTGAGCAGGTTTCAAAAACAGACTGGTGGTTTGCATGGGTGACCAGAAAATCCAATTATAGTAGTGAGGATGATTCTAAAAACAAGTTTTAGAAATTCTCTAAACCTTCCTGAATTACACCACGAATTATGACCAAAAATGGGTCTCGGGAAGAAACTTTCCCTGGGAGTAGGTTATAATACAGCTGCCTGTTGCAGGGCTCATTCCACCTTCTTCCGAAGAATCTGGAATTGGTCTGGAAACTGGGTTAGATGGACAAGAAGTCTGGTCCAGTCTGGCACTGCCTAATTTCCTATTGGTGGTATAAATACAGGACTATGTTTTTGCCTATCTTCCCTAAGTTCTTGGGAGTCTCTGAACTTGTACTGAGAGCAGAAAGATGTCACGCAATATATCATTTACTCCCCTGTTCTTTTTCCTTTCAGGAAGGAACACTCAAATCTTCTTGGATCTTTCCAGTACATTATGTCAGCTGCCAATGACACCAAAATCAACTCTGCAGTGTTCTTTTTTACCGGGATACCTGGGCCTGAATATTTCCATCTCTGGATCTCTATCCTCTTCTGCTTAATATATGTTATTTCTATAGTAGGAAATTCAGTCATTCTGTTTGTTATAAAAACAGACCCAAGCCTCCACGAGCCCATGTACATTTTCCTTTCCATGTTGTCTCTCACAGACCTTGGCTTATCGATAGCCACCATACCGACAACTCTGGGTAGATATTTGTTTAACTCTAGGGAGATCAGCCTCAATGCCTGTTTTGCCCAGCTGTTCTTTATCCACTCGCTTTCATACATTGAATCCTCCGTGCTCTTGCTGATGGCCTTTGACCGCTTTGTTGCAATCTGCTACCCACTGAGATACGCTTCCATCTTAACTCTGCCAAGAATAGTCAAGATGGGACTAGTGTTTGTGCTAAGATCTGTGTCCCTAATATTGCCCCTCCCCTTTCTCCTGAAACGATTCCAATACTGTCGAGCTAATGTCCTCTCCCATTCCTACTGCTTGCACCAGGAGGTCATGAAGATGGCATGCTCAGACATCTCAGTGAACAGTATCTATGGCTTGTCTATTAAACTCTTAACAGTGGGGTTGGACTCCGTGTTCATCTTCCTCTCCTATGTGATGATCTTCAAAACTGTGCTGAGCATCGCATCCCGTACAGAGAGCCTCAGGGCCCTGAACACCTGCATCTCCCACCTCTGCGCCGTCCTGCTCTTCTACGTACCCGAGATTGGCTTGTCTGTGATCCACAGATTCGGGAACAACTCTTCTCTCTTGCTTCAGGTTCTCCTGGGCTACGTCTACCTGCTGGTCCCATCCCTGATGAATCCGATTGTGTACAGTGTGAAAAGCAAACACCTCCGAGAGAGGATACTCAGGGTGTTAGGCAAGTGAAGCGTCTGTTTATCACTTGGTTACAGCACTGATGACACAGGCCCTGAAAAACACAGGCCACGGTTACATATTCTATCCTGACCTTATGTCTGAGATGAAAGTGTTGGTGATTCCCACTCTGGTACTGACTGTGTCTAGGACCTGGACCTATATGTTGTGAAAAAGGAGCAAACAGATCAGAAGAGGCTCTCAGAGACCCAGGGAAACTAGACTGGGTCCCCAAAACTCCTCAGTGTCACAAAAGAATGTGAATTGGGCCAGATGTGATCCTGTGTCTCCTGAGCACATCTGTTGAACTTTGTAGCGGTACATGAGACAGATGCACATAGACATTTGATGCTTGCCTGCTACTTTAAAACCATTTTCTGTAAGCTCTGTTCAAAAGCACACGAAGGCAAGAGACCAAGGGATCCATTTGGACCAATTCGATGATAAGCTTTTAGCATAAATGACATGCTGAAAGAATGGAACAATTAAGAACATAAAAACATAGGATCAGACCATTGTCCCATCTAGTTCAATGTGCTGTCTTGCAAAGGTGGTCAATACCACATGTCCCAGGAAGAATGAATAGAACAGGAAATTATCAAATGATCCATCCCCTGCCATCCTTTCCCGGTCCTGAGCAAAGAGAAGCTAGAGGTACTACACTTGACTATCCTGGCTAATAGTTTTTGATGGATCTATCATCAATAAATGTATCTAGTTCTTTTTGGAAGCATGTTACAGTCCTGGCCTTCACAAGATCCTCTGGCAAGGAGTTCTACAAGTTGTTGTTTTAACCCTGCTCCCTATTAATTTTATTTGGTGACTCCTAGTGATTGTATTACGAGGAAGAGTAAATAACACTTCTATATTTACTCTCATCCACACCAGTCATGATTATACTGTGAGATTCCACACAAGTCAGGAAACAATTTCTTCAGAAGAAAAAGAGACAACAGATCCCAATTTTACTGTGACAATCCCAATTCTTCTGGGGCTAATGTATTTTCTTGTTGAGTTCATATAAGCTTTCAGAATAGCAACCTTTCCAAGTTACATACAAATATATAAGACCAGCCATACTGGATCAGAGCCAAAGTCTGTCTTGACATTGGCCAACACCAGGTGCTCTAGAGGGAATGAACCAAAGAGTCAATTGTCAATTGTGAAGAGATCTGTCCTGTTGACCACTCCCAGCCTTTGGCAAACAGAGGTTAGGGAGAACAGCAAACAGAGGCTAGGCACACTAAGTTGTATACAAGATAAGGACCTATTAATAACAGTGATTCATAGAATCATAGAATTTATGGCCAGAAGGGACAATCAGATCATCTGGTCTGACTGCCTGCAGAATTTCATCCAGTTACTTCTGCATTAAGTCCAATAACTTGTGTCTGAGTAGCATATAACTTGAGTTCATCTGAAGTGTATCTTTCAGGAAGACTTCCAGTCTTGGTTTGGAGATATTGGGAGTATCCATCGCCTCCCCCTATGGAATTCCACTGATTAAGGACTCTCACAGTTAAAAAGCAGTGCTTCATTTCCAAATGCAATTTGTCTGGCTTCTGTTTCTAGACACAGGTTCCTTTTATAGATTAAAGATCCCGTTAAGAGCTGGAGTTTCATCATTTTGAAAGTGCTTGTACACTGTCATGAGGTCAGTTCTCATTCTTCCCAACTTTCATGCACTACGCACCTGTTTATACAGCCAAAGATACACTGGAAATGACAGAGGAGGAGAAAGACCTGGGTATATTAGTCAGTCCCAGGATGACTGTGAGAACATAAGAATGTAAGGAAAGCCATATTATGTCAGATCAAAGGTCCATCTAGCCCAATATACTGTCTTCTGGCAGTGGCCAGGGCCAGGTGCCCCAGAAGGAGTCAACCAGACCAAGTAATCATTCCCTGTCACTCATCCCCCGTTTCAGACAAATAGAGGCTAGGGACACCATTTCTGCACATCCTGGCTAATACCCATTGATAGACCTATTTTCCATAGATTTATTTAATTCTTTTAGAAACCCTGTAAAAGTCCTGGCCATCGAAAACATCCTCTGGCAAGGAGTTCCACAGTTTGACTGTGCATTGTGTGAAGAAAAACTTCCTTTTTTTTAAACCTTCTACCTACGAATTTCATTTGGTGACCCCTAGTTTTTGTGTTATAAGAAGGAGCAAATCACATTCCCCTATCTACTTTATCTACACCATACATGACTTTATAATCCATAATCATATTCCACCTTAGCCATTTATTTTCCAAGCTGAAAAAAACCCCAGTCTTATTAATCTCTCCTCCTATGGCAGCCATTCCATATTCCTAATTATTTTTCTTGTGATGTGTACACAGTATTCAAGATGTGGGCATACCGTGGATTTATACAGAGGCAATATGATATTCTTTGTCTTATTATCTATATGTTGTTAATGATTCTCAGTATTCTGTTCACTTCTTTGACTGTTGCTGCACATTGAGTGGATGTTCTCAGCAAACTATCCAGAATGACTCCAACATCTCTTTCTTGAGTGATAACAGCTAACTTAGACCCCCCCATCATTTTCTATGTGTAGTTTTCAATGCGTATTACTTTGTATTTCTAAGCATTAACATTCATATGCCATTTTGTTACCCATTCACACAGTTTTGAGAGATCCTTTTGTAGTTCTTCACTGACTGCATGAGACTTAACTATCTTGTGTGGTTTTGCATTATCTGCATTTTTTTCCATCTCACTGTTTAGCTCCTTTTCTAGATCTTTTAACATTATGTGGAGGATGGACCCAATAACCTCCTGAGGTCTTTTCCAAACCTATGATTCCATGATTCTATGCGGAACCACATTGGTCACACAACAGACCACTGGAGGACACCTCTAGTTTCCTCTCTCCATTCTGAAATCTGGCCATTTATTCCTACTGTTTGTTTCCTATCTATTAACCAGTTATCAATACATGAGAGGACCTACCCTCTGATCCCATGTCAGCTTATTTTTCTTAAGAGCTTTTAATGAAGTATCTGGTCAAACAATTTCTGGAAATCCAAGAACACTATATCCATTGGATCCCCCTTGTTCACATGCTTATTAACCGCCTGAAAGAATTCTAATACATTGGTGAGGCATGATTTCCCTTTACAAAAACCATGCTGATTTTCCCCAACAATTTATGCTCATCCGCATGTCCAACAATATTTTTAATATAGTTTCAATCAGTTTTCCTGGTATTGAGGTCAGGATTATTGGCCTATAATTACCAGGATCACCCTAGGTGCACCTTTTTTTAAAAAATGATATCACATTTGATGTCTTCCAGACATTGAGTAGAAAAGTACTAGTTCTAGAATTTCACATTTCAGTTCCTTCAGAACTCTTGGTGAATTCTCTCTGGTCCTGGTGACCTATTTTTTTTTTAATTGATCAAGACACCATCCTTGCCCATGTTAGCTAATAACCTTTGGTGGACCTGGCCTACATGACTATATCTAAGGTTTTTGCCCATGTTATGGTCTTGAATTTCAAATTACCCTCTGGAAAGGAGTTCCACAGGTTGATTGTGTGTTGTGTGAAAAATACTTCCGCTTCCTTTCAAACTGCTGCCTATTAAATTCATTTTGTGACATTAGTTGTTGTGTTATGAGAAGGAGTAGATAACACTTCCTTATCTACTTTCTCCACAGCACCCAGGATTTTATAGACCTATATCATACCTCCCACTAGTTGTCTTTTTTCCAAGCTGAAAACTCCAAGTCTTATTAATAGCTCCTTCTATGGTAGCTGTTCCATAACCTTAATCAGTTTCATTGCCCTTTTCTGAACCTTTTCCAGTTTCAGTAAATCTTTGTTGAGATGAGCCATGATGGTCAGGGATACGGCCCATGCTCTGGGGGTAACTAAACCTTGCCTGCCAGAAGACTGGAGGTGGTGAGGAAAGATGGATGTTTTGACAAATGCCCTGTTCTGCTCATGCCCTCTCTGAAGCCCTTGACATTGGCCACTGTCAGGAGAGAGGACACTGGGTTAGATGGACCTTTGGCCTGAATCCACAGAGCCATTCTTATGTTCTTCAGTGGTTCCTCTTGTTGATGGGATGCTTCAGAGCACCTTTTCCAAGAGATCTCCCTGTTACGCAGCTGCTGTAGCCTCCCTGGAGCGACTGTCTATCCCATTTTGGGTGGGACAGTCCCTTTTGTAAGCCCCCTCCTGTCATTTTTTAAATAGAGGAGACATTTCTCTCATTCACAACAGCGATCCTTTGGCAGTAGCAAAGGGCACAAATGTCCACTTGTCAAAAACGTGGAGATGTGGGAATCAAAAAACTGTTTGGGGGAGGCAAATCGGGAGGCCCCTCCCCTGCAGGGGGAGAGGCAGAGCTGCGGGAGCAGTAGCATTCCGACCAGAGGGGTGACAGCCTCCTGGGACTTAAGGGGGACCCTGCAAGGTTGAATGATGGGTGACAGACTAGCAAGGGGACGGGTGTGGGGATTGGCTGAGCAGCTAGGGGTCACCAGAGTTCTCGTTGGCCATTCTCGTCATCCTAAGGGGGTGGGATGCTGATGGGGGTGTGGCCGTTAAGCACAGCAGATAGAGGCTCATGGTTTGAGCTAGAGCTGGGCTGGAAAAGAATATCCCCCTCCCCCGAGAACAATTCTGATCCCAACAAAAATGTTTCCTTTTCTGCCATTTGTGGGATGAGTTTTCATATAACACAAATGTTTTTTCTCACAGCTCAATTGCCATTATTCTGCCCCACAGGAGCTGCCTGGAGCAGAAGGGAAATCGGAGGCTTCTCATCTCCTTTCCCCTCATACTATACATTAAGATTGCCCTGACAGAGTCTATGGCCGACTCCAAAGCTTTAAAAAAAGTGCCTATCTCTTAGAACTGGAAGGGACCTTGAAAGATCATCAAGTCCACTCCCCTGCCTTCATAGCAGAAGCAAATACCCTTGCTAACAGACTTTGCCCCAGATCCCTAAATGGCCTCATAAAGGATTGAGCTCACAACCCTGGATTTAGCAGGCTAATGCTCAAACCACTGAGCTTTCCCTCCCCTGTAAAGCCAGGCTGTTGTGCCTACCAGTGACTCTAACCGGCCTCCTCATCTCTGTGCATCTTCCCCTTTCAACAATGACCTCATCAGCAGATCCTGCAGGCAGAGACTGCTGTGACGGGCCCTGGTAGAACATCTCTGATGGGCCTGTGTGAGCCGGGAGCTGGAGAGGGTCCTGGAACAATAGAGGCAGCCCAGAGATTGTGTGTGTCTGGCCCGAACTACCAGTAGATCATTAAGATCGATGCATAATTTTGGGGATCTCTGGAGCCTGGGGCTCTGTTTTCTCATGCAGAAGTGAAAGGACCTCCCCTCCCATAACGATCAAAGGGAAGTTTCCATGTAGGAAGCCTTGTGGAATTTCCCTTTCCTGGCCTGCACCCTGCATTTGTAATGCAGGAAAGGGGGCTACCAAGGAGAAATCTGGATTGATATTGTTGTTCTATTTTATCTTATTTCACAAAATCACATATGTGACAGCATCATTGTTATCACTTGGTAGCCACGTGACTAATCAGAACTATACAAACCGTGATGACAAGCCAGTTGTGTAGAATCACCCCCCATCCCCTGCCATTTGCCATTGGCCTTGATGGGGTTAAAGCTTGTGCACAGGAAGCCAAGCAGCTGAGGTTCCCTGATGGCCAAGCGGCCCCAGAGGGAAGGTACAAACATGCTGCATAAAGGCAGTTGCCTCCCCATCTGAACACACACTGCCTGCTGCCTGCGTAATGTCTCACCAGTGACTCCTTGTCCTTTACGGTGAAATCCTCTGGTGCCAGCGGCTCCCTTCTAGCAGGAACTGGGTACGTTGGCAGGTTTCACTGTCTGTAACAGGCCAAGTGCAGGACGAAGGCTGCAGGCTGTTTGCATTGGCAGCTGTTCTGCTCAGCAGCAGAAGACTCAGCTGAGCTGTCGGGGTGACTCAGTGATGATGCTGGGGGGCAGGCAGCGCTAGGTAGCTTGGGAACCCTCCCCTACATCTGCCCATGCTTCATGGTGGGCTGTTCAAGCAACTCAGACATCTGACATTGAAAGCGAGCTCAGTGTTAACGCCCCAATGCCCCGAGTCAGGATTTCTTAAAGGTTCCCATTTCTAGAGGTGCCCTGGGCTCTGGACCTGATCCTGCCAGGTGCTGAGTGAGAGAAGGCCCTACAGTATATTAATGACCACCTGACAAATCGCATCAGCTTTATTAGTAGCTGGAAATGTAACCAGCAAATACATTTTCAAAAGCTTTATTCTCTGTCTCAACAGCGAAGGCAGCACCTCAGAGCTGTTTTGTCCTATTGTAACAGGTCTGATAGGGAATGTTTCTGTTCTCTGAGGGCTCCAGAACTTCTGCCTGGTAGATACTCCTCAGAGCTACATGGCTATCAGCATCTCTGCCAGTTGTCAGGCCTCATCCTGGGCCCTCTCATGAGGTAGAAACATAAAATCCTCCCACCCTCAGAGTAGGCTTTGGGTTCAGGTGAGCACAGACCCTGCGTTGCTTCTCTTTGGAGCCTAATACTAGTGGTAAGACCAATAACCATCCAGCTTTCTTGAACCAAAATACTGTTTAATCTGAACTTCAGAAAGAAAGTGTAACATGGGAGAACAGGAGGGTTTTCAAACCACAGTCTGTACATCTCTGGTCCCAGCCCCTCCCACTCTGAGGGTACGTCTAGACTACAGGCTTTTGTCGACAGAGGCTTTGTCGACAGATACTGTCGATAAAGCTTCTGTTGACAAAGAGCGTCTAGACTACATTCAGTTCTGTTGACAAAGCAAGCCGCTTTGTTGACATGAGAGTGTAGATGCAAAGAACAGTGTAGATGCAATAACGCCTTCTCTTGACAGAGCTCTGTTGACAAAAGACGTTATTCCTAGTAGAATTAGGTTTACTGCCGTCGACAAAACTGCCGAGTTCTGTCGACATTATGTCGACACAACTCGGCTGTAGTCTAGACGCAGGTATAGTTTTGTCGACAAAAGTCCATGTTTATCAACAAAAACCTGTAGTCTAGACACACCCTGAGGGTACGTCTACACTGCAGTCCCTCTGCAATGCCTGTCCAAGACTTTTCAGACAGTCCTGAGAGAAGAGAATTGGTGGGCTGTGTTTTAGCAAAGACTACAGCTAATGCACATGAAAGGGGAGTATAACAGCGGCTGCATGTAATTTAGATTCATCATCTCTTACATGAGTATGGTTGAAATAACTTACATGCTCCGATAGCTAATTGTGCAAATCTATTGCTTGCCGTAATCCCCCATGTGTGAAGCCAGTCCTTCCCTGCCCAGCTGAAATAACTCTGGTGCCTTGTAACTCAGCAGATATCTACAGACACTTGTATGGTGAGAGGATGCAGATTCTGTGAATGAGGATGAATGAGTACTCTGAATTCAGTCAATACTAACCAGCAAAGCCCTTCAGTTGCTCTTGGAGGGATTCTTGGGAGTCAGAGTCTATCATCAGGAGCATTCAGTAAGGGAAAGTTAATAGATCCATATAAGTCAGTCTGAAGTGATGCTGTTGGTGACAATGTTATTTAATTCAGAACACAGACTTGAGAGTTTATCCCCAGTGCTGCAAAGAGGTAGTGACATGATTTTCTCTCTCACGAGAAGGGAAAATTTTTAAAAATGCATATCATTAGGATATGAAACAAAGTTTATAAATAGCTTATCCGTACATAAATATTGTTTTCACTATGCAAGTGCCATTGTGTACATGCATGTCATGATGCAATGGGCCACCCTCAGAAGGTGAGGGCCAGAAAGAGAGTCACAAATGTAAAGTCACATAGCGACGAAATAATCTGTGGAACTCCCGGCCACAAGGTATCAATGGAGTCGAGAGCTGAGCAGGATTCCGAGAGGGATTTTTAGAAAAAGTCTTGAAAGGGCTCTAAAACGTCCTGATTTACACCCCAAAATACGTCCAACTAGTGGGTGTCCAAGGGAAATGTTCCCTGGGAGCAGGTTGTCTCAAAGTTGCCTGTTGCAGAACTTCTTCCACCTTCCTCTGTATTATGTGGAACTGGCTACTGGCTACTGGGCTAGATGGACTGCAGGTCTGATCCAGTCTGGCAGCGCCTGTTTTCCTATCTGTGGCGGAAAACCAAGGCCATGTTTTTTCTGATTTTCCTTCAACTCCTGGGACTCTCAAGATTTGCACTGACAACGGAGAAATGTCTCATTAAATATATGTGGATTCTTGTTCTTTTTCCTTTCAGGAAGGAAAGCTGGAAACTCCTCATACCTCTCCAGTACATGATGTCAGCTTCCAATGACACCAAACACCATTCTGCAGTTTTCTTCCTCACTGGGATACCAGGGCAGGAAAACGTGCATCTCTGGATCTCTATCCCCTTCTGCTTCATGTATCAGATTTCAGTAGTAGGCAATTCAGTCATTCTGTTCATTATAAAAACAGACTCGAGCCTCCATGAGCCCATGTACATTTTCCTTTCCATGTTGGCCCTCACAGACCTTGGTTTATCAATAACCACCATGCCGACGATACTGGGCATATATTTGTTTAATTCTAAGGAGATCAGCCTCAATGCCTGTTTTGCCCAGCTGTTCTTCATCCACACACTTTCATTAATTGAATCTTCCATGCTGCTGCTGATGGCTTTTGATCGCTTTGTTGCCATCTGCATCCCACTGAGATACGCTTCTATCTTAACCCTGCCGAGAGTAGCCAGGATGGGGCTGGTGTTAGTGCTCAGATCGGTGGTCCTAGTATTCCCAGTCCCCTTTCTCCTGACACGATTCCAATACTGTCGAGACAATGTTCTCTCCTATTCCTACTGCCTACACCAGGACGTCATGAAATTTGCTTGTTCGGACATCACCGTCAACAGCGTCTATGGCTTGTCGGTTAAACTATTAACAGTGGGGTTGGATGCTCTGCTCATTTTCCTCTCTTATGTGATGATTCTCAAAACGGTGCTGAGCATCGCGTCTGGCAGGGAGAGCCTCCGGGCCCTGAACACCTGCGTCTCCCACCTCTGCGCTGTCCTGATCTTCTATACCCCAGAGATTGGTTTGTCTGTGATACACAGATTCGGGAGTAGCTCTTCCCACTTGCTTCAGATTCTCCTTGGATATGTCTACCTACTCGTCCCACCCCTGATGAACCCGATCGTGTACAGCGTGAAAAGCAAACACCTGCGTGCGAGGGTTATCAGGGTGTTCGTTAAATGAAGGTCAGTTCATCGCCTGGCTCCATCACTGGTGACATGGGAGATGAAAATTGCTGGGCATGGCTACCTAATATATCCTGAAAACTTATCTCTGAGATGACATGAGCTACTCACAACCACTCTGTAGGGAGAGCTTCTGACAGAGTCTAATGCCTAGAGCCATGGGAAGGAGCTGTCTCCACCCACTGGTGAGACAGAGTGGGCCACTGGCGGATGGAGAGCAAGGCAGGCAGCAGAATTTACTAAGTGACTGTGATCGTGCAGACCCAGGGGACTGGTGGGATATTGGCTGCACCGATCTCAGAATTCCTGACTGTTCAATGAATAAAGAGAAGGGATGTGAATATTTTTCTCCCGTGACATGCGGACTGTCACTTTCCTGTCCCTGGTTAATCAGCCATGGGCCTGAAAAAAGCAGCAGAGCAGTTCTGCAGAAACACTCCCGGCCCTTCCTGAGCACGCTGGGTGCCGCGCGATCCATGAGCCCTGCACCATCTATGGGCAGGAGCTATTCAAGAGGCACTGAGAGGCACTGAGACATTGAGGGGACCCTTCCGCCTCCATGGATGACTCTGCTCACCGCACGCCTGCTGAGCCCGCTCCCCACCGAGGAGGAGCCGAGGAGTCTCTGGCAAGAGACTCAGGTCCAGATTCCATCCCTGGTCCGTCTGCCTCAGCCACTTCCAATGGGGTGGGGATAGGAATCGGCTCCCCCTCAGAGGCACAGGTTGTTCCTGGCTCAGCCCAGTCCCGTCAGTGCAGGGTGACCCCCTTTGCAAAGGGGGCCTGCAGGACCCTTGTCCCCACATTGACTCCCCCTGCTGTTCTTCTTCCTACACTGCCCCATCTCTTACCCCCAAACCAAACCCACTGTTACTCCCCCCCCCAACAAGGCCTCTGCCTCATGTCGTCTCCCAAGCTCTGCCCCCTGCTCCTCCTTCTCACCCGATGCTCCGCGTGCTCTCCAGGCCCAAAGCCAGAGCTGGGCCATGGTATGAGCTGCCCAGTGAGGCAGAGACACTGTGAGGAGTCCTGGGCCTGAAATCAGCCCCACACTCCAGCACGTACTTTGAGGGAAGTTGGTGAGTCTGGGTCTCGCCCCAACAGCCTGTGTGCTCTGTGCTGCTCTTACCACAGCCCAGGTTGGCCTGGCCGGAGGATAGAGCCTCAGGGGAAGTGGAGGGGCAAGGCCTCGGGGAAGAGATGAGGCAGGGAGTGTGGCAGGCTTGAGCCAATGCCCCTCATAGCATGCTAGGTGGCAGGAGCCTGTGGCTGGCTCCTGGCCATCTCTGCCCTCTGCAGCGCACCAGAGAATCCAGCTGGGTCTGTCAATGCTTGGAAGGCCGGTCCTGTGGTCTGGGTGCTGCTCAGCAGCTCAGGAGAGCTGGGTTTGATTCCCTGTGTGACCATAGGTACTCCACAGGTTGTCTCTGTGCCTCTGTACAGGTGAATATTTGGCCTGCCCTGCTTCACAATGGCATCAGGAGGACAAATTCATTGCAAGCTCTCAGATACTCTGAGATCAGGGATCTGTCAGGGCTCCACAGAGCAGCACCTCGGACATTGGCCTATACAAGGTTTCATAGCACCACCTCCCCTGGCAACAGGGAAGCCCCTGACTCCATCACTGTGTTGTCAGTGGCAGTTGTGTGGGTGCTCCAGGGTGACAGCGAAAGGTAAGTCGTGGATTTCTGAGGAGAGGGTTGGGGGCACTGGAAATATCAGCCCAGTCACGGGACAGGTGTTTGCGAGCCATTGAAGCAGACTGCGCCCAACTTCCAAATAATGGAGCAATGGCCAAGGGGGCACCATCTTAGACCTGCGACTGGGAGAAAGCAGCCTGAGGGCAAAGGTCAGCATCACACCCTGTCCACGTAACATGGATACAGCAGCGCACTATGTGACTGGGCCCAAGCTCACGCCGCTTTTACCAAAGGCTGCCCCCACAAGCACGCAGCGAACAGATGGGAAGATGCTCTCGGAGACACAGTGAAGCTAGGCAGGGTCCCAAGAGTTCTTTGGTGTCCCAAAAAGAAAGTAACTCAGACCAGTTCTGTTCCAGTATCTCCACAGCAAAGCCTGTCTGACTTAGCTCATAGTGATGAGTGTAGACGTGTGACAGCTGCCTGTTATTTTAAAACCATTTTTCTCTACTGCTTTGTGGGGTTTGCTACTAAATATGCAAGGAGTTTGGGGGGCGCTGGGGCTGACTGAATAGTTCTGGTCACAATCTCCCAAAAGGAAGGGAGGGAGGTGTCACAGTACACCAGCTCCATGAATTTTCCAGGGACGGAGATGATGCTGACCAGTCTGTAGTTACCTGTATTCTCCGTCTTCCTTTTTTTAAAGATGGGCACAAAATTTACCTATTTTTAGTCATCTTGGACCTTCTCTGATCCCCACAACTTGTCAAAGATAACGGCCAGAGGCTTTGCAATTACATCAGCCAACTCTCTGGGCATCCTCGGATGCATTCGCTCCAGCCCATAGACTTGTGCATACCAGCTTTTCAAAACACTCCTTAACCTGTTCTTTCACTGCTGACAGCTGCTCACCTCCTCCCCATACTGTGCTGCCCAGTGCAGTGGTCTGGGAACTGACCTCAAATCACAGAATCATCGGGTTGGAAGAGACTTCACGAGGTCATCAAATCCAACCCCCAACCCAAAGCAGGACCAACCCCAACACAATCATCCCAGCCAGGGCTTTGTCAAGCTGGGACTTAAAAATCTCTAGGGATGGAGATTTCACCACCTCCCTAGGTAACCCATCCCAGTGCTTCACCACCCTCCTAGGAAAATAGTTTTTCCTAATATCCAACCTAGACCTCCCCCACTGTAACTTGGGACCATTGGTCCTCATTTTGCCATTTTGCTTCATTTCACTACTGAGAACATCCTCTCTCCATCCTCTTTGGGGCCCCCCTTCAGGTGGTTGTAGAAGGCTGCTATCGTATCCCCCCTCACTTTTCTCTTCTGTAGACTAAATACGCCCAAATCCCTCAGCCTCTCCTCATAAGTCATGTGCTCTAGACCCCTAATAATTTTGGTTGTCCTCTGCTAGACCCTCTCCAATACATCCACATCCTTTCTGTAATGGGGGGTGGGGTGGGTGGCAGAATTGGATGAAATACTCCTGATGTGGCCTCACCAGTGCCGAATAATGTGAACACCTAGGCAAAAAAAGCTCTGAGTACTTTAGCTTGTCCCACATCATCTGTTACTAAGGTGCTTTCCTCAATCAGTACCTGTCCAAATCCACAAGATAACCACAACAAACCACAACTCCTTTTACACTTTGGTTTTCCTGATTACACCCTTGCCTGCTCAAGGAAAGTTTTATACTCCTCCGGAGTCATCTGTCCAAGTTTCCACTTCTTGTTAGCTTCTTTTCTGTGTTTCAGCACACAGAAGAGTTCTCTGTTAAATCAACCTTGTCCCCTGCCGTATTTGCTATTTCTTCTTCACATTGGGCTGGTTTGCTCCTGCACCCTCAGAAAGACATATTTAAAAACATATTTAAAACTCCTTTCTCCTATATATTAGGCTCAAGGGGGGAGGGAGATCGCTGAGAGGTACAAACGGGCGCGGGGGAGGACACATGGGGATGAAGGTTGTGGGGACCACCTATATCCAGCAACCCTCCAAGTTCACACCAGGAACCTTTTCAGCAATTTCTTCCCTCTCTCTCAGCTCTTCCATTACCCCTGATTTCCCAAAACCTTTGCATTGCTTCGAAGGGGTGCAGAAAATATGGTTCTGAATTATCATTGGCATGAAGTATTAGTCAGAGTTCTATATTCATATGTCTAGTCAGGAATCATTTTGCCAAAAAAAAAACCCTCAACCTTTTTTATTGTCCGTGTTCTTTAGTGAAGTTCCCTTGCACTCCTGGCAAGAATAAGCATTATATAGACCAACCCTGACAGGTGTTTGTCTAACCTGTTCTTTAGAATCTCCCAAAATGGTGATTCTACAACCTACCTCAGCAATTGATTCTAGTGCTCAACTTCCCTGACAGTTAGGAAGTTTTTCCCCTACTGGAATGATCGGAGGGAAATGTCCCTCTACACGGCCTAGTGGAATTTCCCTTCATAGGCCTGCACCCTGGGTTTGTATTGCAGCAAGATCTCTGGGCAGCCCCCAAGGGAGCCATGTGACCAATCAGGACCATACGTACAGTGCCAATAAAACTGAATTCCAGGAATGGAGCCTGCAGCAGGTCTGGTGCTGCAAACCAATCGTTTAGCATCTCCTCCCTGGGATTTGGCCTCCTGCCATTTGCTATTGGCCGTGACTGGGATTAAAGCTGGTGCACATGAAGCCAAACAGCTGAGGTTCCCTGATGGCCAAGTGGCCCCAAGGGAAGGTACAAACATGCTGCATAAAGGCAGTTCCCTCCCTATCTGAACACACACTGCCTGCTGCCCGTGCAACCTCTCCGATGACTCCTTGCCCTTTACAGTGAAGATCTCTGGTTCCAGCAGCTCCCGTCTAGCAGGAACTGGGTACGTGGGCAGGTTTCACTGTCTGTAACATGCCAAGTGCAGGGCGAAGGCTGCAGGCTGTTTGCATTAGCAGCTGTTCTGTGCAGCGGCAGAGGACTCAGCTGGGCTGTCGGGGTGACTCAGTGAGGAGGCTGAAGGGCAGGCAGCGCTAGGTAGCTTGGGAAGCCTCCTGTACAGCTGCCCATGCTACACAGTGGCCTGTTTAAGCTGCACAGAAATCTGACATTCAAAGTGAGTTTGGAGTGTTAATCCCTCGATACCAAAGAGTCCCATTTCTAAAGGTGCCTTGTGTTCTGAGTCTGATCTTGCCAAGGGCTGAGCAAGAGAAAATAACATGGAATATAACATGCAGGGGACTGGACTCGATGACCTCTCGAGGTCCCTTCCAGTCCTAGTATTCTATGATATCAGCAACAGTTTGCCCTGTCACCTCAGGTTTATTTGCTGCTGGGAATTTAATCAGCAAATGGATTTTAATCTCTGGCTCAATTGTG